GTACTAAGTTGTGAGATCTGTCGGTTCCATCGTGGAGCCACTACGGTCTCTGACTGATGGCCGCATACTGTTCGGTCTTCTAGACGCTACTGGTTTCTGTTAGCAACGATGTACCACATATGACTCGTCACGTAACTGAACAACTGATATGACTCGATTGGAAATTGAACTGTTTTCATTACTGTAGAGAACATTCATTCTTCTCGACGCCCGCTCGATCGTGAGACACATGCCTCCGCTCGAGCTCCCAATCCTCCGCTCGAGCGGACTGTAAAACAGTGCAGAGAAAATACTGGATGCTCGGATTCCACGCTCGAGCGCCACTTTCCACGCTCGAGCGGGATTGCAAAATCTGGAAAAACCCAGATTGCACCACCAAGCTCAACTTACATTCAAATGCATCAAAACCATTCCTCTTGGGCCCATTTTCTGGAAAACATTTATAAACACATAGTATAACATGGTTCAAAGCTCAATTTTGAGAAATCAAAGCCCAAGGGTGTTTAATTCAAGCTCAATTTCAAATCATTTTCAAGAACAATCTTCAAACATGACATGCATGATCTTTAAATAACTTTCAAGCTTCAAAACATGCTCTAGTGAGCCAATTGATTCACAAACAAGATGAAAACATGGACCATTACAAAATTATGGACATGTATGTGACAATTTGCCATGAATTCAACTCAAAATCCAACAATTCAAACATGCATGCATGAATTATGTTCTATTTCAACATGTATGAACTAAAACAAGACTTAGCTCCTTAATTTGACATGAATCATGCAAGAACAAGCTCAATTCATAAGCAAGAGGGGAATTACTCTACCTTAGGTCTTGAATTAAAAGACTAGGAGCTCAATTTAGCAATCTACACTTCAATTCTCTTCAAATTCTAAGCAATTCACAAGTTGAGCTCAATTCTCTCCTATTTCCTTTCTTGGTCGGCTAGTGTAAGGAAAAAGGCTGAGGAAAAAATGTTTGTTTCAATGAGTGCAAGGCTCTAGTATGATATACTAAGGGGCCCACTAGCAATGGCAAGATGGTAGATAAATCAAACTATGCAATTGATCAGTATTTAATCTAATTTAATCATACCTAATCAGTTTTCAGATAATTACACCGTAAAATCACATTATTTATGAGGATTATGAAACATAAATCAATTCCCAGTTCGGCCGCCGATAAGGCCTTCAATTAGCAGTTTAAACATAAAACACGAACAGATCAAGTAATCAATCAACAGATAGAATGCAATTCAAACAGATGTACTATGCATTTAAACAGATACAGTCAGTCAATTACTTCCAGATTCCAGTTAGTCAGTTCAGTACTTGAATCAGTTCAATTCTCAGTCAGTTATCAGTCATTATCAGTTCCGTTTAACAGTAATCAATGTTTATCAGTAATCTATCAGTCATTAATCGGTAAACAGTATGAGGGTTGTTACATTTACCAATCTTTACTTTACAATGAAATTGATTTGTCTTCTAGGGAGTTTGTATTTTGGCTTTTATCTTTAATCTAGCAGCTTGTTTACATTGTTTATCGTCTTATTATTTATTTTCTAGTAATGTTATGCTTTCTTGATCCATGCAGAAGACTTTCTCATTTTCAGTGAGAGATTCACTGATTAATGTTGGTCCTATAAAGGACTTCTCTTATGGTTTAAGGATTAATGCTGATCCAAATGCGGTGGGAATTGCTAAGCAAAGTAATTATGAATTGGTTGGTTTCTATTTCTTCAAACTTGATGCTAATAATAAGGTTTAGGGCATTAATTTGATCATGCTTCTGTTGTCTGGTTATACATGTTATTGAGTACAGTTGCTGTTAAATGCTATTATTTGAAACTCTTTTCTGAAATTATTATTTTTTGCTTCTTATTAATCCATACTGGACTGACATTCCTAAAGCAGCAAATCATACAATTCTAATGGTTTATTGCTTTGTACATTTGTAATATGGTAACCTTTCTTACTTATCAAGAAAAAAAAATGGTAGCCTTTGTTGTTTTCATTTGGGTGTACTTTTCAGGTGTGCTGTTCTGGTCATGGTAAGAATGGAGAATGGTGCTCTCTGCGTGCTTCAACAGTCAATTCGGCCAGAAATGATGACTCAGGTATGTCCTGATACTATAGTTTGATGTACTTGATGAATACTTTGTCTCCTATTTTGGTGTTTTGGTCCTTTTTCACCCCTCGTATATACTTTTAATAACAGTTAAGGTGGATTGTTTCTAGATATTTATCTTTGTTTAACCAATTTATTTACTTTTGAATAGTCTCCTCAATTTTAGATAAAGTAATGTGCCTATGGAAAAAATAATAATATATAAAATTTTAGATTTGTTTGACCAGCTTATTTACTTTTGAATTTATATATAAAATAATGTGCCTATGGCAAGAATTACAAATTTCGTAAGAATTACAAATTTTGTTTATTAAAATGACATGTATAATTGCAATATTATATGCAGTAGCACATCAGGTAATTTACAAAAGTGTCTCTTTGATTTTGTGTTTATTTCCATGAAAGACTTAATATATTATATTTCTAATCCTAGATTTTTCAACTGCAAAATAGTTATCTGAGTTTTGACAGAAACTTCTTACTTTGTTTGCAATTTGAATACACCTTATGTCTTTGGGTGAGTGACGTCATGGAATTTATTGGCACTTTGTCTGCGAGAAAATGTAACATTAATGACACAGGATAAAGTGTAGAAATTTCTTTCTATGACTATAGTGGTGGAGCTTGTTCGAGATACTAGTGCACTGACTACCTTGTACTATGTTCCTAAAAAGGAGATATCATGCTAGGAGCATTGGATCAGAACTGAGATCTGAGTTTGGGTTGTTAATTCTCTCTCTCTCTCTCTCTCTCTCTCTCTCTCTCTCTCTCTAAGTTAAAAGGGTTCATGGTCAACTATTTAGTCTGTGTTGGGAAAAACTACTCACATTATATAATTTCACATTGCATATTGCAAAATTATGAGATGAACGAAACAAACCTTCAATCCCAGGAAAAATAACATGCTGAATAAAATACAGATAAAATATAAAATGGTTAAAGGAAGCAAATCGAAACCTGTGTGATACCACAGTTTCCTTAAAATAGATTCGCCGCCTCACCGTTGGGTGCTAGAGGTACGCTGGCGTCTACTTCCCAGGGTACGACAGTTTTTACTAGCTACAACAGAAGCACCTTCTGATTAGCTTAGCGAACGGACAACGGCAGCACTCTTTCTCAGGAAGAAAATTATAGGAGAATTAGACTGACAGTGTATGGATGTCAAGGAAAAATTCTATATCTCTTTTCAAGGAATAGCGTCTCCATTTATACACCATGGGGAAGAGGGGAGGAGCCTCTAGCCATCAAGGCTGGTAACTAATGCTAGCAAAATTGCCCAATCAATTTTGTAAAACTGATGAGCCTTAAATGTGTGAGTTATATACACATTTATGAGGCAATTTCTTATTCAACCATTTTTCTCCAACAATCCCCCACATGAATAAAAATTGACCGAATACAGCAAACGCTCAACGTTTATCAACAAAGACTCGGAAAGAGAGAGAGCGCATAGACTAACCCTGCATCAGAAAAGGTAGCTGTTGGCCTTGAACCTTTCGTAGTGAAAGCCTATCGGATTTACTGGCTGACCAGTGAACGTGATGTCTTGAACTGTTCTGCCGTTTATGTAAACCGAGACAATAGACCTCACATAGGAGTTAGTCCAACCATTAACTCATATAAATTAGGTTAAGTTTTATATGTATGCAACATAAAAAATAGTTGTATACTTAGACCTCATTTGTCAACTACATATTTTAGTCAAAAAATCACTATAAGTTGTCACATCAATTTTTCTACTTTTCTATAATATTTTCATAAAAAAAACAAAAAGTACTAAAATAGTATATTTCCAAACGAGACCTAAGACCTCCGATAGCATAGATATTTTTCAAAAGAAAATCTTGAGGATAATGAAAATAAATTTTCAAAAAAAAAAATTTGACAAAGATGAACTTTTATAATTTTAAAACATTTTAAACCAATACTACTATAGTAATGGGGTTTCAAATATTTTAGGGGTTGTTGCTCTTCTTTGGCCCATTGCATGACGTTGTTTGAAGTATAAACAATTAGAATTTTTACATTCAATAGTAGACACGGCTAAATGTAATGGTCTGATACTCAAGTGAGATCACCTCAACACTCAGCGGTGTTTGGAAAGAGTTTTTTTGAGTTTTTTTGTTAGTTTTTTGCTAAAAGACAAGAGCGAGGGGGCGTTGAAATTGGCCCAGGAGGCGGTCTCCAAACTGAAGGCTGAGTTGGAGGAAGAAAAGAAGGCGAAGGAAGTGGCTGACTCGGAGGCTTCTAAGGTATAAGGGTTATTTTGGGAATTTATTTTTTAGTAGCTTTTTAGTTTTTTAGAAAAAAGCATATAAGAAAATAAAAAGAAAATTGAGCTTTTTTATAGGGTAAAGCACCATTAAATCCTAAATTTGGAAATGTTAAACCATTAAGTCTTGTGTTTTTTTTGAAGGACTGAGAGGTCCCATTTGTATTTGAAAGACTTTGAAACCCATATTTTATGCGTGTGGGGTTCAAGAAGGGAGGGTAAATAGGGGATACTATTGATGTTCAATTTACCAAAATGCCCAACGATGAACTGCAATGTTTTGCTGATAGATTTAAATGTTTTAAGGTAGAGAGGAAAAAAAAATGGAAACAAAGAATCTCACTCCACATAAAAGAGAATATAAAAAAAAAAATGTACACTATGTTATATATTTGTATATTTGTAGAATTTTTGTCTAATAAATTTGTTTTTGGTTGGAGGGGAAGAAGATGATCGTACCTAATAAATTTGTTTTGGTGGGAGAGGCAGAGGATCATGACATTTGATGTAGGCCAAAAAGTACCACATTGAGGCCACTGAAGTTACATTTTTAGTCTTTCAATATTGTTTATTTAGTAGAGATGATGTGTTTTGTGCATATGTACAGATTTGGCAGGTAACATGCAGATTCAATTAAAAAGAGCGCGAAAATAGATTCTCTGAGCGAGAAGCGAAAAATTCGAGCCAGCCAGACCACCGTACGTGCGGCCCACCACCGCTCGAACGGCCCACATGGGCGCTCGAACGGCCCACATAGGGAGGCGTGCGTGAAATTTTTAGTCTATTTTGTTGAGAATAAAAGGAAGAAAATGAGGCTAACTTAGGGTTCGAAATTAATACAAAGGAAAGGGAGGCTAGGGTTCTAAAGAGGGGATTATTCGACCAAAGCTTGAAGGACACTTCTATGGGGTTTCTTCCTCATCTTCTTCCTCTTCCCACTCCTCCATGAGTGGCTAGTCTTAGGAGAAGATCTTTTTTTAATTTTTTGATAAGTAGTTTTAGGAGAAGATCTCTTTGACACCTGAAATTGTACTTCTATCTCAAGGACAAGTTTCAAGACAGCCTCCATAGTTCCATCACAACAAACAGTGCATATATTACAACTCAACCAACAGATTACCAGAATATCCATTTTAAAGACTTTCTGATGGGCTATTGACCAATCTTTTTCAACATTTGAAAGTAACTTGCCGAGTGAATGGTTGCAATTACTCAATCAGATTGTGTATTATTCACAATCAACAGATAACAACCTGAGTTGAATTAATTGGATCTTCATGACAGCAATTGCATAAAAAAAATTCCAACTTTCAGCTGGCATGTGCATTGCCAAAATGGAAAGAAGGAACAATGTAACTAAAAAAACCAAAGAAACAAATAACGTACTTCGTGTTTTTTCTTCTGATTCATGCCTTGGGTAAGAACGTTATCAAGTGAACCCAAGTGCAGATCCGGTAAAACCTGCAAGAAACCGTAAAATCCACCCACTTGGTTATTTAAAAATGGATTTAAAAAATAGGTAAATTGGTTTTGAAAACAGGACCGATAACAAAGTCATCTGGATTGCTCACAGACAACCCGGTGTTTTTCGTAACATAAGGGCATGAAACAAACCTAAGACAATGTATCCACACAAATAAAACGTGCTTTACATATTGGTGAATAATCACAAATGAACACTCAAGCAAACAATTGCTTCAAGTATAGCCTCGTCTTTGCTTTTAAGCAAATACACATAACAGTATTTAGTGCAATCATCAACAAAAGTGATGAAGTACTTGTTGCCACCACGTGATTGTACAACTTTCAAGTCACACACATCACTATGCACTAAACCCAAAGGCTGGGTACTTCTTTCAATAGAATGAAAAGAAGACCTTGTCAATTTTGCTTCTACACAACTTTCACACTTGTGTTGTGGATTAATCTTGAAATATGGTATGTGATCTAACTTGATTAATCTACATAAAGAGTCAAAATTTACATGACCCAATCTACCATGCCATAAATTAGGGGACTCAAGCATATAAGCAGAAGAAGAAGCTTTCTCATTAATCTTAGGGATAAGTGTCATTACATTCAATTTAAACATACCACCTGACATATATCCCTTCCCCACATAGACCCCGCCCTTGGTCAACACGACCTTGTCTGATTCAAACACCATGCGGAAGCCATGCTTGCTTAGGAGAGACCCCGAGACAAGGTTCTTATGAATGTCTGGCACAAAAAGGACATCGTTCAAAGTCAGTTCTTTTCCTGAAGTCATCTTCAGGATCACCTTGCCTTTACCCTCAACAGCTGAGGTTGCAGAGTTTCCCATAAACAACTTCTCCCCGTTTGAAACCGGTTCAAAAGTTGTGAACATTCTCTTCTTTGCACAAATATGGCGAGCGGTCCCAGTGTCCACCCATCATTCTCTCGGGTTTGACCCTACCATGTTCACTTCTGACACGACGGCTGACAGATGCATGTTGTCCACATCGTGTGACAGTTCCTCCATTTCAGCCATATGTGCCCGGTTTTTGTGTTGGAGAGGGTTTTTCCTGTAGGGCTTCTTCTTTAAACAATCAACTGCCCGATGCCCGTCACTTCCACAGTTGAAGCATTTGCAATCGAACCTAAAAGTAGGCTCCTTTGGCTTATAGGCTGGCCTTTTGGAGATTCCTCCTCTAGCCCCCAACTTTGAGCTTTTGCTTGTTGGTGGTTTTTTTTCCTTGCCCCCGAGGACTCGCCATGCTCAACCATGTTGGCTTTGACAGTGGAGGTACTCCCTCATTTCTTCCTGTTGTCCTCTTCAATCCAGAGCCTGACAACGAGCTCTTCGACTGTCATCTCCTTTCGTTTGTGCTTCAAGTAGTTCTTGAAGTCTTTTCAGCCGTTAGGCATCTTATCAATCTAAGCAGCTGCCTGGAATGACTCACTCAGGACCATCCCTTCTGCATGTATCTCATGCAAAATCACTTGGAACTCTTGGACTTGACTCAGGACAGTTTTAGAGTCCACTATCTTGAAGTCCAGGAACCGGCCGACGATAAATTTCTTTACCCCAACATCCTCGGTCTTGTACTTTTTGTCCAAGGCATCCCACAACTCCTTAGCCGATTTCTTGGCATAGAACACGTTGAAAAGCGGATCCGCCAAGCCGTTCAGAATGTAATTCCGGCATAAGAAGTCTGCTTGTTTCCAAGCATCCAGAGCCATGAGCTTTTGTTTATCTTGCTCATTCTCCTCTACGGCTGGTACATCTTCACTCAGAAACCTCGCAAGGCTTAGAGTAGTCAAATAAAATAGCATCTTCTGCTGCCATCTCTTGAAATTCACTCCCGTGAACTTCTCCGGGCGCTCGTGATGATTGAGCGGTCCTCTCGGAATAGTCGGAGTAACAACAGGAGGATTGACCACAGAGGTCACAGTAGGGGTTGGCAAGCCAGTCGCCCCGGGGTTTGGATCCCTACCAACATTAGCAGCAGCAGTAGCAGCATCAGTGACAGTTGCCATTTCTGAAAAATTACAGCAGAATTTTCACTATTCTGTATTTCCCAAAATCAAACTTAACACTAGAAAATCTCACAATTGGAAATTTAATTCAAAACTAGTCTCACCACGCAACCTAGAATCGAACATGGTTAGGAAAGTTTCCAGGAAGACTGGAGGGGTCACACCGGTCCCACTTAAAATCCAGTTAACCTTAAACAAAACTTTCAAGAGCATGTTGACTCCTAGTCTATGGGAAACAATTTTAAGAATTAAATTTTTCAAGAGATGAACTAGGTTAAACACACCAAGTTCCAAACTGTACAAGCAATTACAACAAAATTGCTACAATAATTACAAGCAAATAAAACGTGCTTTACATATTGGTGAATAACCACAAATGAACACTCAAGCAAACATTTGCTTCAAATATTTAGTCCAAATTAATCCTTTTTCCCATTTCCAAAGGTATTCCTGCAATAAAGAGTTAGCAGCAAAATACAACAAAACCTCCCTCAGCTTTTCTTTGCTTTTGGCAAAGTAGTGATTGAAGGGGAGGGTACTAGCAAACAAATTAATAAATAACTGTAAGTAAAGATTAAAACCAACCCTTAAGTTACAGATCTAGAATTTAAACTAAAAAAAACTGTAAAAAATTAATTACATAATAAACATGTAATTAACTGAGGCAAGTTACAAACATTTTATAACTCCTAAATACTTAAATCACATTACTGGGTAAGAATTGCAAATGACATGATTAACATGCAAATAATTCTAGAGAAATTAACATGAATTTAAATATAGGCAAGTTATAAACTTTACAACTCCACACCTAAATTAAAAATTAATAGGTACAAGTTACATAAAAATTTACTACCTAATAAACATACTAGAAATGTAAATTACACTAAAAATTAAACCCGAATGAACATGTAAAACTTTATTCAGACGTTAGTCGGCGTCGTCGACAAATCCGAAATTCTGACCGAGAAGTCGTTCACACTCTGTGTACGTAGTAGACTCACGCTGGTCAAATCAAACTAATAATTCTTTAATCTTATTTTTCAATGTTAAAATTGTCAATCTGTTCCACAAAAAAGAGTTAAAATTATCAAACATGTCACGCAAACACAG